CAGACAGACAGACAGACAGACAGACAGACAGACAGACAGACAGACAGACAGACAGGCCATTAAGAGAATAGGAAAGGATCCACCATTGCATCCTAGCCACCGGCCAAAAACCACATGTGTGTACGCAGACATCGAGTCCGGCAACGGCACCGCAAAACTCTGAACTGAACCGAAACGGTGTAAAGACAGCTTCATTATTGAGCACTCTTTTATGGCTGGAAAGATCGTTTTGTCGCTTTGGGTTAATGCAAAATCCATGTTCCCAGATTGTGACGACGAGACTAGAGTTCTCTTGCACTCCCACAGGACAGTAAACGAGTTTCCTATCTCAACTCGCGTCACCATCCCACTCACAGAGCAGGTTTATAAGGACAAACAGTATCCCTTTCTTTTTCTGGCTGACAGGACATTACCGGTTTGAGAAAAAAAGTCGTTTGCTCCCACAAGTCGAAACACCATTGCCCTCTACAGTAACAATCATATAAATGATATGAATACGAAGAATAAGAACAATCAGGAGATCTCTCTAGCGTCCACTCCCCAGTTGGGCTCAACGCGCTCTACATCAGTAATGAAATCGGTCATTCTGGCGACATTTTAGCCCATGAAATTATTCCCATTTATCTATATACACAGGTTAACACATGCATTCAATCATGCACGTGCGCGCGCACACACACACATACACACACACACACACACACACACACACACACACACACACACACACACACACACACACACAATCTAGGAGATCCTCTGTAAGGTGTTGCAAAGTGACCCAGGGCAAGGGACCATCGACCCGTGATTTTGTTTTTGATGACATCATGTTTTTAATTTCATCACACGAGACCGGCTAAAATGTATCAACTATAGCACCACTACATGCGTTATATAGACTGGAGAGTCACGGTGTTCTCTGATCTTCACGACTTTAGTTAGTTTTAGAGGAGGTTTTACGGCGCTCGCAACTGCATAAGGTCATATGAGCGCCGGCAGATTAGAGGTGTTACAAGAGAGTAACAAACATAACATTAATAAGAAAAAGGGGAGATAAGGATGATAGATGTTTGATAGGAAAGAAGAAGCCAACCACACCAGAGCACCCGCCAACCACCCACCTTCACGACTTTATCAGTGCAAAACAACAACAAAAACAGAATTTGTTGGGTAGATGATCATCTTTTGATAAGTCGCTTGGTAGAGTTTTTGAATATATACATGTACTTTGTTCTCTCCTACTCGATTCTTTTGCCACTTCGCACAGAGCTTTCCGTGATGTGCATTCGGGGATGACGTGCCTCCAATTTTTTGTGAGAAGGAATTGGGAGGGGGGGCGAGAGAGGGAGAGGGAGAGGGAGAGAGAGAGAGAGAGAGAGAGAGAGAGAGAGAGAGAGAGAGAGAGAGAGAGAGAGAGAGGGGGGGGGGAGGGAGTGCACAAATAGAACCAACACACATCAACAAGTGACATAACTCCTCTGGGGTGGAAAAACGCACACAATCATCGGTTATTCCATGTATATTTATTAACCTTGACATGTGCCACATAATACGATACAACACAATGTCCAAGATAGTAGATATTCATATATTCACACTTTTTGTAGAGTTTTGTCCATCCCCCCCCCCCCCCCCCCACCTTTAAAATTAAAAAAATATATATATAATTATTTTTTCTGTACTCTTACCACTAGATCAATAGCTCCTCTTTCAAAATGACCTACTTGCGCCTGAAAGGATATTAAACAAACGCAAAAACGATTTTTCCAATTATTCGCTGTCGCCCAACTCACATCCTCCCCTTCTACTGTAAACAGACACACATGCAGTCGGGTGCGTGCACACATACCCCTCCCCCCTCCCCACACACAAATACACTTGCACGCAAGAGGAGGGTACAGAAGGAAATGACACAAAAGGGCTCAAACATGCAATTTTAAAAGAAGACATGAGCACGAGCAATGATCCAAACAATAAGAATGCAATTCCGAGTTCTTATAGAGGGAAGACTGAACAGCTGTAGGATCTGCAATTCTCTCAGACTTTACAATTAACCTTAAAGATACATCCACCCCCTCTTCTACCCTAACAAAATAAACAAAAACAAAAAAAAGCAACAACATTAAACTATCCCAGTCGCTGTACTGGCCTGAATCATCTAAGTAATGGAATTCACAACGTTGCCCTAATCGATCTGATTTGGTTGTCGTAAACAGGGCTGTGATTGCGTAAAACTGGACCACGGCAGATGGTCAATTCATCAAGGTGATAGACAACCCGGGCCCGGTGGGGTGACACACAAGGCCACATTGACGCACTGCTTTTGACGGAGCTCCAGAGAGGCAGTTTGAGTGACAGAAGAGGAAGAGGGGAGAACGAACGAGAGAGGGAAAAAAGAGAGAGGGGGAGAGAGAGGGAAAGAGAGAGGGAGAGAGAGGGAGAGAGAGAGAGAGAGAGAGAGAGAGAGAGAGAGAGAGAGAGAGAGAGGGGGGATGGGGAGAGAGAGCGGGGCCGTTAACCAGGACAACTACATTAAATAACGAGTTAAAATATTATATTGATGTTGTGAACCACTACGCAAGATTGTTTTTCCATTTCAAGGTTAATTAGCGGGGTTTGTTCTCTCGTTTCCTCCCGGGACCAATAATTTATCGAGTAGAAATTCTATCGCTCTGATGGACATACCTTAAACACAGAGTAAATGACTGAATGTTCTCATGACTGCATTGACAACCGCGGCCAAGTCTTCGTGAACCCTCGATTATTATTTGTCACGGAACAATGCAAACAGATCTTGGAAGTCAGTAACGAACGTCCAGGCAGCGTAGTCCGCCCATGTGCATGAGTGTATGCACACGTGTTTTATCTTGTCTTTCAAACATTACGTGTTCCAAGTGTGATACTGACTCCGAGCGCGTGTGTAGGTTACCACCTATACGTGTGTGAGAGTGCTAAAGGCGTTTCTGTTTTAACCCCCCCCCCCCAAACAAAAACATCAACATAAATAGTTTTAAGAGAAATAAAAATCAAATACGAGAAAAAGAGGGGGGTGGCGGCCGAAGCCTACTCTTGTCGATTTTGGATTTTGGACCACCAAGGGATCTTTTACGTGCGCAAGTTGCACACGAGACCTCCAAGATTTTTCGCCCTTGTCCGAGAAGGCTATAGGAGAAGATCTTTCCTACCAGAAGATCAGGGGTGTGACTGAAATACATGTATGCCTTTAACATTTAAAAAGTTAACGGGGGGCTCTCGTGGCCTAGAGGTTAAGGTGCTGGCCTCTCATTCAAAGGTCCCGGGTTCGAATCCGGGTAGCAACCGAAACGTTTTCTGCTCCTTTCCTGCTCTCTAGCAATGTTCTGTTGTCTGCTTTCAATTCCACTTTCTGCCCCCACCCCCTCACCTCCTTTGCCCCCTCCTCTGGGCTCCTGACTCTTTCTGCAGCATTTCTACTGCTACTCCTTGGCCCCTCCTTACTGCTGTCTTTCTGCCACACCCCTGATCTTCTGGTAGGAAAGATTTCCACCTAGCCTTCTCGGACAAGGGTGAAAAATCTTGGAGGGCCCGTGTGCAAGTTGCGCACGTTAAAGATCCCTTGGTGGTCTAAAATCGATTAGAGTAGGCTTCGGCCGCCACCCGGGCAAAATTCAAAATTTCCTACCAACTGAAAATAGTAGGTGTGTCCCGCGCGCTCATATGACCTTTGCAGTTGCGAG